GCACCAGTAACCCCACCTGGGAGACAGCCAGTGATCATTCTGCACCAGCGGCCCCACCTGGGAGACGCCTAGTGACCATTCTGCACCAGCGGCCCCACCTGGGAGACGCCCAGTGATCATTCTGCACCAGTAACCCCACCTGGGAGATGCCCAGTGACCATTCCGCACCAGCGGCCCCACCTGGGAGACGCCCAGTGATCATTCTGCACCAGTAACCCCACCTGGGAGACGCCCAGTGACCATTCTGCACCAGCGGCCCCACCTGGGAGACGCACAGTGATCATCAAAAACAACCCAGCAGACCAAGCCAAGCACTCTTTAAAAACAGACCCAACAAAAGCACAAGTTACTTTTTTATTACTGTTATGATTTTTTCATAAGAAAATAAGTCGGTACAAAGACATGACTGATTTTAAAAAGTCCATGGTGTGTGTGTGTGTCCATCAAACAACGTCTCTGTTACTGTTTCAAACCCAGAGTCCCCTTCACCCATTCCGAGAACAGCAGCTCTGCCTCGGTCACTGGCTCCGCCTTCTGGCTGATCACTGCAGCCAATCAGGGATACGATCATGGGCGTGGCCACACCAGCTCTGCAGCTGTTGGAGGATTCTCTCACAGGAGGGGGCGGTGCCCGGGGGAGTGGGCGGAGCCTCCAGTGATCTCCTCACCCTAGTGCCCACCAGAGAGGGGGTGAAAGAGCTCTTCTTGGGGCTGCAGAAAAAAGGCTGGGAGACGACCCTCTCAGCACAGGTGTGTCCATGACGCTATAACCGCTATAAGGGGACAGGTCCATTTGTTAAAAAAAAAAGAGATCTCCCTGAGGGCGCTGGCTGATCCTCACCGAAATCAGCTGGGAAACACTGGAGGCGTGGGTTTAAACTGTTAAAAAAAACCACCCCACGGGCAGCTTCAAAACCAAGTGAAATCAGATGATCAGGAAGAAAGAAAACGGCTGAAAACCATTAAAAAAAAACTCATTAGAGGAAAAAAAAAAAACCAGAGGGTTTATCCTGACCAAAAGAGGCTAAAAGTCTGGTAATGAATCTGGCACTGGGAAATAGGAGAGCTCCTTTTGCTGACCGAGTACAGCCCAGTACAGACGGTACAAAACGTACAGAAGAGATTACTCGGACACCAGGATGTGGCTGGGACAAGGGTCCATGATCTGGGGTCACTATCCTTCAGTTTGTCTGTCAGTCACTGTTACTGCTTGCCAGGCCACAACCCCCACCCACCCACCCCCAGAAAGTTCCAGCCCCCACATGGCTCCAGCAGCCAATCAGTGTCAGAGGGGGGCGTGGCTCTAGTCCTGGCGTCCAGCAAATGGCGAGTGTCTCTGTGGCGAGATGCCCCTCCCCCACAGCAGGTGTGCCTCTGAGAGAGAGGGGCGGAGCCTGCACGCGCCACACAGGTGGGCAGGGGAACAGGCGTCGCCGGTGGCATCACAATGGTAGGCGGAGCGAACGGCGAGTTCCCTGCTCCCCTCAGTCACTGTCGGAGCCCACTGCGGACGAGCCCTTCCTCTTGCGCTTGGGAGCCTTGGGCTTGGAGTCCTCCTCCTCCTGGGAGAGAGAGGGAGGGACATTCACCTCACTGAGGGGCGTGCTTATCAGTCCGAGACGGACAGAGAAAGACAGACTCTTACATACAAAGAGGTGAAAAGCACAGCAAGAGTAAAAATGACAGATTGACAGAATGATAACTCCTTGGACTGCGTAGTGAAGAGACCAGCAGTCAGGACACCAGGGTCCACACCCCACTCTTACTGACAGTGTCCTGGGGTCTGTAGTGACCAGTAGTCAGGACACCAGGGTCCACACCCCACTCTTACTGACAGTGTCCTGGGACCAGGTGTTAAAATTGAAGTCCTATCTCATCTGCAGGACAGCAAAGTGTCCCTTGTTCTGGTCCAGAGGGAAGAGTGCCCCCTACTGGCCCACCAATACCTCCTCCTGGCAGCAACCTGTTTGAGAGACAGACAGATGCAGGGACAGACGTGGACGAAGCTGGACTGCCTTACTGAGGCACTGCTGGAGCCGCTCTCCTCCTCGTTGCTGGCCGGGGGGGCCGCGCCCTTGCGGCTCCGCGGAGACGAGACCGCCGCCTTGCGCCGCGACTTCGGGGGCTTGGAGGAGGAGTCCTCATACTCCTCGGCCAGCGAGAACAGATCGCTGAACCTGGGGCGGGAGGCAGGGGGGGTCAGTGTGCTCCAGACATTCGCGGATCTCGCCAATCCCAGCCATCCCAGCACGACACCGGCCCCTCCCACTGCAGAATCACCCCCCCAGTCCCAGCAATCGAGCTGGAGATCCCTGTTCCCGGGAGAATGCGGGCTCTCACCTCATCTTGTGCGCCTCGTCGCAGCTGGCCTGCACGTGCTGGAGGGCCTGCAGGATGGGCGTCTGGCTGAAGACTGGGGACAGAGAGAGCAGGGCGTCAGGGCTGTGTGCCTCTCCCATCGGCACGCTTTCACACTCAACACAGAACCGAGTCAGGGGCCTGTGTGTCACTGCATCTCCAGCTGTGGTACAGCATCTGTCTCCAGCTGTGGCCAGCTGTCTAGTGTCCAGCTGTGCGTCGGGGGGGCAGCGTGTCCAGTGGCCAGCTGTGCGTCGGAGGGGCAGTGTGTCCAGTGGGCAGCTGTGTGTCGGAGGGGCAGTGTGTCCAGTGGGCAGCTGTGCGTCGGAGGGGCAGTGTGTCCAGCTGTGCGTCGGAGGGGCAGTGTGTCCAGTTTGGCTACACCACAGAGCCGCAGTGCAGCGAGACGAGACTCACAGTTGTGCTTGGTGTTGCTCAGGCTCAGGCGCAAGTTGTCCAGATGCTCCAGGATCTGCTCCAGGGTCAGCTGGGCCAGTTTACTGCTGGAGCTGCGCAGGCTGAGGCGAAGGGAGGGGGAGACACATGGAGCGAGGGAGGGACAAGGAGGAAGAACCAGACGAGGAAAGGAAAGAGCAAGAAGAGTTTCAGCAGCTCCCGGTCTCCCCTGGCACCCCGGCCCAGTCCGCGCTGCCTGGTATACCTACCACTCCCCCGAGCAGGCCTGGGGCCCGGTCACTTCGCCCACACCTCTGCTGTTACCATGCACATTTTACTCTTGTTGCAGTCTGAAATGCGCTCATCATTGCTGATTCTTTCTAACCCCAAAATAAAAACATAGCATCGCAGTTCCCCTTGACGTACTGGAGCTTAGAAGACAGCTGGACTGTAAGCCTACCTGCTGATGTGAACTACTAAGACAGGCCGGGGCACCAGGTGCTCAAGGCCTGTACTCCTGTGGGGTTTTCGAGAGAATGCTCACACTCGACTAAATACGCAGTATCCTTTGTGGCGGGTGAGTGTGTGAGAGCTCGTGTGAGTGTGTGAGCAGTGTACCTGTGTGTGAGAGCTCGTGTCTATGTGTGTGTGAGCAGTGTGCCTGCGTGTGAGAGCTCGTGTGAGTGTGTGAGCAGTGTACCTGCGTGTGAGAGCTTGTGTGAGTGTGTGAGCAGTGTGTATGAGTGTGTGAGAGCACGTGTGAGTGTGTGTGTGTGTGTGAGTGTGTGAGCGCGTGAGCTCTACCTCTGGCGTTTGCGCGGCAGGCTGTTGTTCTTAATCAGCAGGGCCTTGATGTGCTCCGCCAGCAGGTCGTCATGCTTGGCCGCCCAGTGCCGCAGGATGCTGGTGGTGAACTGGTCCTCGGGGTGACACGGCCGGCTCAGCACCATCTTCACCATCTCCTCACTGGGCCTGAGGAGGACAGGTCAGCACACTCGCTCAGGACAGGTGTCC